TTTAGCCCAAAAATTCCTGGGTTTTAGCCCAAAAATTCCGGGGTTTTAGCCCAAAAATTCCTGGGTTTTAGCCCAAAAATTCCGGGGTTTTAGCCCAAAAATTCCTGGGTTTTAGCCCAAAAATTCCGGGGTTTTAGCCCAAAAATTCCTGGGTTTTAGCCCAAAAATTCCGGGGTTTTAGCCCAAAAATTCCTGGGTTTTAGCCCAAAAATTCCGGGGTTTTAGCCCAAAAATTCCTGGGTTTTAGCCCAAAAATTCCGGGGTTTTAGCCCAAAAATTCCTGGGTTTTAGCCCAAAAATTCCGGGGTTTTAGCCCAAAAATTCCTGGGTTTTAGCCCAAAAATTCCGGGGTTTTAGCCCAAAAATTCCTGGGTTTTAGCCCAAAAATTCCGGGGTTTTAGCCCAAAAATTCCTGGGTTTTAGCCCAAAAATTCCGGGGTTTTAGCCCAAAAATTCCTGGGTTTTAGCCCAAAAATTCCGGGGTTTTAGCCCAAAAATTCCTGGGTTTTAGCCCAAAAATTCCGGGGTTTTAGCCCAAAAATTCCTGGGTTTTAGCCCAAAAATTCCGGGGTTTTAGCCCAAAAATTCCTGGGTTTTAGCCCAAAAATTCCGGGGTTTTAGCCCAAAAATTCCTGGGTTTTAGCCCAAAAATTCCGGGGTTTTAGCCCAAAAATTCCTGGGTTTTAGCCCAAAAATTCCGGGGTTTTAGCCCAAAAATTCCTGGGTTTTAGCCCAAAAATTCCGGGGTTTTAGCCCAAAAATTCCTGGGTTTTAGCCCAAAAATTCCGGGGTTTTAGCCCAAAAATTCCTGGGTTTTAGCCCAAAAATTCCGGGGTTTTAGCCCAAAAATTCCTGGGTTTTAGCCCAAAAATTCCGGGGTTTTAGCCCAAAAATTCCTGGGTTTTAGCCCAAAAATTCCGGGGTTTTAGCCCAAAAATTCCTGGGTTTTAGCCCAAAAATTCCGGGGTTTTAGCCCAAAAATTCCTGGGTTTTAGCCCAAAAATTCCGGGGTTTTAGCCCAAAAATTCCTGGGTTTTAGCCCAAAAATTCCGGGGTTTTAGCCCAAAAATTCCTGGGTTTTAGCCCAAAAATTCCGGGGTTTTAGCCCAAAAATTCCTGGGTTTTAGCCCAAAAATTCCGGGGATAAAACACAGAAATTCCGGGGTTTTAGCCCAAAATTTCAGCATTTCAGCCCAAAATAATCAAGGATTTCAGCCCAAAAATTCTGGGATTTTATCCCAAAATTCCAGCATTTCAGCCCAAAATTTCTGTGTTTTATCCCGAAATTCCATGATTTTTGCCCAAAAAATTGAGGATTTCAGCACAAAAAATTCAGGATTTTATCCCAAAATTCCAGCATTTCAGCTCAAAAAAAAGATTTCAGCCCAAAAATTCACGGATTTTACCCCAAAATTCCAGCATTTCAGCCCAAAATTTCTGTGTTTTATCCCGAAATTCCAGGATTTTTGCCAAAAAAATTGAGGATTTCAGCACAAAAAATTCAGGATTTTATCCCAAAATTCCAGCATTTCAGCTCAAAAAAATCAAAGATTTCAGCCCAAAAATTCACGGATTTTATCCCAAAATACCAGCATCCACACGCAAAAAAAAAAAAAAAAAAAAACCCAAAACCTGTAATTTTGGAAGAAAAAAAAAACGGAAAAAAAAAAAAAAAAAAAAAAAAAAAAAAAAATGAAACAAAAAAAAAAATTTAACGGAAAACCGGCAAAAAAATTCCCGGGAAGGCGCCGGGAAGGACCCGCCTGGTGTTGTGGAAGTGTCACGTCCGTGTCGTGTGACCTGGTGTGTGTGACATGAACCGTGCAAGGAGGGGGGGCGGGGGGCTCCGGGACCCCGGCCCCTCTGCCCGAATTCTGTGCCTTTCACACGGGGCGGCACCGGGACCCCCGGGGGGGCCGAGATCCCTGTTCCTGTATTTGCACTGTTTTTATTCTGGATTGGCTTCCCGACAATACACGGCTCCGACAAGCCCGGCTGCGCCTCTTGCTCTCCCGAAAAACGGGGGGAGGGGGGTCAAAAATTCACGGATTTTACCCCAAAATTCCAGCATTTCAGCCCAAAATTTCTGTGTTTTATCCCGAAATTCCAGGATTTTTGCCAAAAAAATTGAGGATTTCAGCACAAAAAATTCAGGATTTTATCCCAAAATTCCAGCATTTCAGCTCAAAAAAATCAAAGATTTCAGCCCAAAAATTCACGGATTTTATCCCAAAATTCCAGCATTTCAGCACAAAGTTTCCGGAATTTATCCCGAAATTCCAGCATTTCAGCCCAAAAAAATCAAGGATTTCAGCTCAAAAATTCCATGATTTTATCCCGAAATTTGAGGATTTTTGCCCAAAAAATTCAGGATCTCAGCACAAAAATTTCAGGATTTTAGCCCCAAATTCCAGCATTTCAGCCCAAAAAAAAAAATCAAGGATTTCAGTCCAATAATTCCAGGATTTTATCCCAAAATTCCAGGATTTTATCCTGAAATTCCAGCATTTCACCCCAAAATATACAGGATTTCACCCCAAAATTTCAGACTGTCACCCAAAAATTCTGTCATTTCCACCCAAAAAAATCAGGATTTTAGCCTGAAATTCGAGGATGTCAGCCCAAAAATTTCAGCCCAAAATTCCAGGATATCAGCCCAAAATTCAAGCATTTATGCCCAAAAATTCCAGGATTTTAGCCTGTAATTCCAGTATTTCAGCCCAAAAAATCAAGGATTTCAGCCCAAAAAATCAAGGATTTTATCCCGAAATTCCAGCATTTCAGCCCCAAAAAATCCGAGCATTTCAACCCAAAATTCCAGGATTTCAGCCCCAAATTTCAGAATATCACCCAAAAAAATCCAGGATTTTATCCCGGATTTCCAGGACTTCAGCCCAAAAATTTCAGCCCAAAATTCCAGGATATCACCCAAAAATTCCAGCATTCCAGCCCAAAAAACCCAGGATTTTATCCCAAAATTCCAGGATTTCAGCCTGAAATTTCCAGGATTTCACCCGGGATTCCAAGATTTCAGTTGGGTTTCTCTCTTGTTAAAACTTCCAGGATTTCAGCCCAAAATCCCAATATTTCATCCCAAAAATTCCAGCCCAAACCATTGGGTTCCACTCCCAAAACTCCAAGTTTTTTATTTCCCACGCAAATTTTGGGATTTCGGTAAAATTTTACCCCATTTCCAGACTTCCAGCCCAAAACCAGTGAATTTTACCCCATTTCCAGACTTCCAGCCCAAAACCAGTGAATTTTACCCCATTTCCAGACTTCCAGCCCAAAACCAGTGAATTTTACCCCATTTCCAGAATTCCAACCCAAAACCAGTGAATTTTACCCCATTTCCAGAATTCCAACCCAAAACCAGTGAATTTTACCCCATTTCCAGAATTCCAACCCAAAACCAGTGAATTTTACCCCATTTCCAGAATTCCAACCCAAAACCAGTGAATTTTACCCCATTTCCAGAATTCCAACCCAAAACCAGTGAATTTTACCCCATTTCCAGAATTCCAACCCAAAACCAGTGAATTTTACCCCATTTCCAGAATTCCAACCCAAAACCAGTGAATTTTACCCCATTTCCAGAATTCCAACCCAAAACCAGTGAATTTTACCCCATTTCCAGAATTCCAACCCAAAACCAGTGAATTTTACCCCATTTCCAGAATTCCAACCCAAAACCAGTGAATTTTACCCCATTTCCAGAATTCCAACCCAAAACCAGTGAATTTTACCCCATTTCCAGAATTCCAACCCAAAACCAGTGAATTTTACCCCATTTCCAGAATTCCAACCCAAAACCAGTGAATTTTACCCCATTTCCAGAATTCCAACCCAAAACCAGTGAATTTTACCCCATTTCCAGAATTCCAACCCAAAACCAGTGAATTTTACCCCATTTCCAGAATTCCAACCCAAAACCAGTGAATTTTACCCCATTTCCAGAATTCCAACCCCAAAACCAGGGAATTTAACCCCATTTCCAGAATTCCAACCCAAAACCAGTGAATTTTACCCCATTTCCAGAATTCCAGCCCCATCTGCAGGATTTTCATTCCCATTTCCATCTTTCAGCCACAATTTTGGGCTGATCTGTCCAAATTTGGACGATTTCAGCCCCAATTTCCAGGATTTTAAACCCAATTTCTGGCTTGGGGTGGGGGCGGGTGGAAATGGGGATTTTTTTTTTTTTTTTTGCACAAATTTAAGGAGTTTTCCCCATTTTTTCCCTCGGGTTTGAGCTCGGGGCTGAAGGCAAAGTCGGGGGGAGGGGGTGAGGAGCCCCCAAATTTTGGAGAAAGGCTTAAAAATAAAAGGAATTTAAACTTCAGCCCTTGGTAATAATGATTTAATTAAGAGAGGAATCGTTTGCTGGGGTGGCAAATTGGGGGGGGGACCCCCCAAATTCCCCCCCAAAAACCTCCAGGACATGGGGACAGCGCCCTCGGCGTTCCGTCCCCGATTTGGGGGTGACAGGGACGGGGTTTGCTACAAAAGAGATTTATTTGCCAAAAAAAAGAGCCCAAAATTGGGATTTTCTGTGTACAAAGAGCCCCCGGGGGGGGGGAAGGCACCGGCGGCTGGGGGGGGACAGGGACCCCCGAGAGGGGACACGGGGTTGGGGGGACAGGGATGGACGTGGGGACCCCTGGGATGGACACGGGGACCCCCGGGACAGAGACGGGGACCCCAAAAATGGACATGGGGACCCCAAAAACGGACACTGGGACCCCCGGGACGGACACGGGGTTGGGGGGACAGGGATGGACGTGGGGACCCCTGGGATGGACACGGGGACCCCCAGGACGGACACGGGGACCCTGAGACTCAGATGGGACACCAAAAATGGACACGGAGACCCCGAAGACGGACACTGGGATGGACACTGGGACCCCAAGAACGGACAGGGGACCCCCGGGACTGACACGGGACCCTCGGGACGGACATGGGACCCCAAGAATGGACACGGGACCCTCGGGACGGGCACGGGACCCCAAGAACGGACAGGGGACCCCCGGGACTGACACGGGACCCCCGGGACGGACACGGGAGCCCCAGAACTGACACGGGACCCCCGCCGCCGGGGCCGGCCGGCTCAGATCCGCATCCTCCCGTCGCGGAGGCGCCGCCAGCGCTCGGGGTCCAGCGGGACGAACGCTCGGGCGGCCTCGTCCAGCACGAAGAGCGGCTCCGCCACCAGCGCGGGGTCGCAGCCGTCCCGCGCCAGCCGCACCTTCTGCTGCTTGAAGGTCTCCGTCATCTCCAGCCGCTCCTGGCGACAGCGCCGGCGTTGGGGACCCCCCCCCCGAGACCCCCGAGCGCCCCCCG